GGAGGCCTGACCCAGTTGACCCAAAGCTGCTACCAGGCACCAGAGAAAGCTGGCACTTCTCAAGATCAACATCCTGATCTATTAGCACCATTTCACACATTCCAGTATCATCACTGGTCACATGAGATTGTCTGATGTGAGCCAGGATAATGGCCGGATTGTCCAAGAATGCCATTTCCTCTGTTTGGCTAAGTGTGTCTTTTCGCTTTGGAAATCTTCTCACCCTCTTGCCTGTATGCCAAAGGGTTCCTTTTCTTTTCTTATCAGTCTCTGTTTGAGAGTGTTACAGCTCTGACTGATGACAAGAGAGGTGTCACCTTTTCCATCTTTTGATGACTATTTTTTCAGGTCCAAGGTAGGCAAAGTAGTCCCTAAGGAGAGCAAAGAAATTGTTATTACATGTTGCAGTCTAGAAGTAGGATTTCAGCTCAATCTTTTAAAACTGATATATTTAAAAACTAAGCTCAATTCACACATCCCAAAGCCCACTTTAACTTCCAACTTTCACAGTTTAAATAAATAAATACAATAAACTAAAACAAGAAGCAAACCTCTGCCAAGGCAGCATTTGCTTTTAAGGGACTAATATTGTATTTTATACAATCTTTTGTTTTTGTTCTTTATGCAGTCCAGATCAAAAGTTTAACCACTTGAAAAATGGGCAAAAAAAAGTAGGGGTTTTTTTTTTTCATATTTTGCATGGTTGGATCTTAACAAGGTTCCAAGTAGAGCTTCAACATGCAACAAGAAGGGATGGGAGTGAGACAAAACATTTCTTTTGAGCATGCATTTTATTGAAAACAACACTTAAACTGAAACAGGCTGTTTTACACCCGATCAAAGGTTGAGGACACAGCTAGCTGTTTGATGTGGGACAGTAAACTTTAATGTTTAAATGGATCTATTTTAAAGATGTAGAGCTCTAATGTGCAGCTGCTGCCTTAAAAATCATCAATGGCAGCAAAATCCCACTCAGTGATAAAACTGTTAAGTAGAATTAAAATTATTATTGCTTGCGCCAAATCACCAGATTAAGTAAAGAGTTTTCTCGTCATTTTTAAAAACAGTGATGCATTTTACTGGTATATTTTTATGATAAAGATTTTTAATGCAATTTGATAACATATCTAAAGTATAGGTATCACTCAGAGGGATAATCTTCTATGGAAGAAGAGTCACAAGATTCCTGAAACGCCTATTTTGTGATTGGTCAGATGTCTGCCAGTGCCACACATTTCGTGTGAATGCACAGGGGAGACCCTTCGTTAACACAGTGACTTGATAACCAGCTTTGTGTGATCGGTTATCCTGATCATCAATTTTAGGATATGTGAATCCAGACAATGGAGAGATACCCTAAATATACTGAACACACATAGTTTACCCAACTCCTGCTTCACAGTATAGCCCTCAGCTTGGCTGAAGAGGCTTTAAAAGTCTCAACAGTTAAAACAAAGATTGTCATTTTGCCAATAATCTCTTTAAATGGGTTTGAACTTTGATACCAACAAACAAAAACTGAAGTTTGAATGTCCGTGATATTAACACTGAACATAAAGATGTTGATAATTTCAACATGTAAATAAGAGCTGTAAGCCGGGCCAAAACAACCCCACACTCAAACTAGGTTGAATGAGATACCAACGTTAACACGTCCAATAAAGGATCAGGACCAGAGCACCAAGATTTTTTGTAACTTTAGTAAACAAACGTCAAACTATTAATAACATATTGTTAGGTTTTGAATAGTTCAAATTGTATGCGGCGGGCCTAATCTTACATTAGAAGATCCAGTAATTGCAAAGAGCTTCTAGACGACGCTAACTGCAACTAATGAAAAGCTGTAGTGTATTGTCAGGTTTGTCCTTGCTGACAGCTTAAGGGTCTTCTTCTCTAAAGCGAAATGTGTTATGGCGTGTAATGCCAAGTGATACTGTTTGATACCTGCAACAAGCACCTCACGTAATGATTCATCGTAGCTGTTTTTAATGATAGGTGATGTAGCTATTGTCTTTTTTGCTAACCATCGTAGCCGGCTGACTTCAAAGTAATACTTTTTTAAATCGCAGTCCGCCTGCTTAGAGTGGCAAAAAGGTTTATTTTTAGTATCAGGATTGGAAAAATATTTCACCAGAAGCGGTTCAATCTAGTAGCTTGCAAGCTCATTTAAGCTAACGCGACCAGCATTTGGTTGCACCTCCCTTGTTTAAGACGACGTCTTACCTTTAGATGTATCCACCAAGGGAAAGAAACATCCACCATTCTCCATATTATACAAGCATAATCATAATAGAGTCAGAAACTCTGTTCATCACGACTAATGTTCCACATTAAAGTCATAATACAAACCAACTCAACCTGGTATGCTCTGCCTAACAACCAACCCACAACCAACCCGGCTATACTTCCGGTTCCGTTACTTCGTGATAAAAGAAAAAAAAGACTGATTTCGTTTTCACAGAAAGCCTCAGTCATCGACATATTTTGCAACATTTTTATCCTTATTACGCTTTTATTAAAATATAACTGTTTATGAAAATATCATGTGACTTAATTTGATTAAGTCTAACATTATTATTATTATTATTATTATTATTATTATTATTATTATTATTATTATTTAGTTATAATTATAATTGTAAAAAATATACCCGACAGTCAGGGAGGGCATTTTATGTGCTTCGACCTAAAATGAGGTCCATATATATTTGGAAACTGTGTTTTTTTTACCTGTTTACTGAAACATATTCCAATTATTGTTATATAATTGACATGGACATAATATGTAGAATCTCACCTTTCGTCTGAGGGTATCCACTTTTAAACTGGAATGAAGAGTTCAGAAGATTCAGGTCCTTAAAATGTGCCACCCTTTTTTTAAAGACACCAAAAGTAATTGGACAATTGGCTCAAAGGCTGGGGGAGCCTATGGTGAAAGAGTTCATTTCGTTTTGTTCTGCACTGAAATCGATTGGACAGTGTTAACTGCACAGTATTGCAGGCAGCATTTAGTGGAGATGGACAAGCCGCAAGGAAATGCTCCAACGAGCCACGATATAAACATGCCATTATTTGCATCTGTCGCTTTTCCATTGTGTTAATCAGACCCTTCCCAGCTACATCAGCTCAGCAGTGTTGTTGCTGGAATAGTTTAATAAGCATTTGGCTGCATCCTCCTTTGTGTAAGGATGATTGAAGGTATGTTTAAATTCTTCCAAAAAGTCATTAAAGAGATGTGAGTACATTTATCGATTTCGTCAAGCCTGCTAAAGAAAATAAAGTGCTTAATTTATTAATACATGCATAATTTTAAGAGAATGCCGTATAAGCTGTATAATATGTGTATTTGTCACGTTACATGAGAGTGTCTGTTGGTGTGCTCCCAGGGTCCGCCCTCTGGGGCGGAGGTTTTGGTGTTGCATCAGATAGCATCACCTCAAGGGTTGTCAGGTCCTGCGCAGATCAACTGTGTGGGGTGATGGAGCACATCTTCGAACTGAGCCTGAGGCTGGGGAGAGTTCAACAGCTCTGGAAAAACCTCTTGTGTTGTACCAGTGCTAAAGACTCCACGTCCCAAGAACTTCAAAGGCTACAGGCCAGTAGCTCTGACATCCTACCTGATGAAGACCCTGGATCAGTTGGTCCTGGCTCAGCTTCAGCCCCTGGTGAGCTCATCACTGAACCAACTTCAGTTTGCCTGCCAACTTGGCATTGGAGTGGATGATGCTGTCACTCTCCTCCTACATCGTTCCCTCTCTCACCTGGAGACTGCTGGGAGCACTGTGAGAATCATGTTCTTTTATTTCTCCAGTGCCTTTAACACTATTATTCCCACAGTCCTTAAGGACAAACTGGAGAATTCAGAAGTGGACCATCATCTCACAACATGGATACTGGACTACCTCAAGAAAGGACAGAGCAGGCTGTACCTGCTGCAGGGGCTCAGGTCTTTTGGATTGATGGGCCCACTCCTGAAGACCTTCTATGGCTCTATGCTCCGGACAACATCCTGGGTTCCTTGGGACACAAAAACCTGTTCTAAACTGCAGCAATTACCCCACTTTGTTTTCCATAACTGGGTGTACTAATTGAAGCTTCTCCTGTGTCTAAAAAATAATAATAGTTATCTGAATACCTAAACAGTTATCAAAATACAATAGCTATAATAACATGCTCAATCATCCAGGTAAGTAAGTTGGACTACAGACGAAAGTTTGAGCCTGTTTCAGCAATGCTAAGCCCCCAGCATCCAACATCAACATGGAGGGGAGGAAGGCACTCACATCACTTATAATGACAATAACATTATCTGGCAGACAAGGGTAGGTGCACGGTTGTGCACCAGAAAGATTATCATGAGAAAATGTTGTCACTGCTCAGTGACAAAAATACTTATGAGCCCCTGAAACGAGACCCAGGAAGTGGTTACAGGAAGAAGGTGATAGATTGTCTCAAGCAGTTAGAACAAGAAACTGCTATTGACTGGATCTCATACCACATCTCATACCAGGGGAATCTACACTAAGTCTGTATATGGTTTACTGGGTGTAGGGTGTACCAATTGTCTGTATGATCAACTCGGTCACCTATAACATTCCAAGGTTTCTGATTTGAAAACACTATGCCCAGATGAAAAGAATCAACCTTTTGGGATTTGTTGCATGGTGGACACAAAAATGTACATTAGCAGTTAAACAACAGAATAAGGCTTTCAAAAGATTTAAAAAAATGTTCCCAAAATCTAATAAACTACAAAAAGAAACAAAGAGACTTTCAAAGAGACTCAGGGCATATAGTTTTTGCTGATATTTTTACATTTTTGAAGGAGACGGGAATTTTAAAAAGAAATGTATTTGGCGGTACTATAGATTCTGTGCTATACTCCAATCTAAAAGGTGGCGGTATTGCACCTAGAAGTTATTTGCCAACCGCCAAAAAAACAGGGGAAGAAGAAGAAGAATTTCGCTACTTGCCAACCAATAAATATTAAGAAGAAGAAGAAGACCGCGACGACTCCTCCGAATCCGAACGAGTTCTTTCCGCTTTTCGAACAATGATATCTTCCTGAAACCGCTAGCTGGAAAACTGTTGTGCAGATATGCACAGAATAGGTTGTGTTTAGCACTGGTTTGATGAATAAGGCAATTTTCTAACAATGCGAGCTTTTCCAAAGCTGTGAAACGACCTAACCAAACAGAACACTGAGGAAAATTTTCGGGAACCTCTCACATCCAACTGTTAGCCTGTTTCGGTAAGTGGTTAACCCAGTTAGATTGCTAACATTATCATTTATTGCAAATCCTGTGTCTTCTCAAGAATGTGATACGTGAAGCTGCCTTTGGTGGTGTAATTGACTGAGGTATGTGATATAAGCGCTTAAACGATCCAAGGGATAACAGACCGTTGGCTGGCCAGTAAAACCATAGCTGACGTCTGTGGTCGGTTGCAGCTGGCGTGTGGAAGATGCACTATGTTACCCGACTAGCTTGTTAGCTTGATCGCTTATTTATTATTTCACAGTTAGAGTTGACAAACGAAGTCGAGTTATTGTCGCACAATAAATAATTTAGTTATGGCTGTTGTTAGTAATTTGTGTTAAACCTACGAATCAATGCGTAACTTGTCCTGTATGAGGAGAACTTTTGAGTGACATCTTTTTATCTCATTGCACCACTGGAATTTTGAGTGTTAGGACGTAGAAGAGAAATCCAGTCCTTTGCAGAGGAGCTCACTGGAGACCAAAAAAAGCAAATTTATGTCCTTATTACGTAAGCCGTTTGTTTATACCCCAGATTATTTTGTGACTTATGTAAAATAAGTTGCATCAAGATTTAAAAAATATGGCAATAGAAGTTTTTTCTCACAAGCCAATAAAAATGTACATGGGCCATTAAAACTCTGAGCCATTGTCCTGAGGGTTGTTTGGTTGGACACAGTTCAGTTCAGTTCAGTTCAATTCAATTTTATTTATATAGCGCCAAATCACAACAAAAGTCGCCTCAAGGCGCTTCATAGATGCAGAGAAAAACCCAACAATCATATGACCCCCTATGAGCAAGCACTTTGGCGACAGTGGGAAGGAAAAAGTCCCTTTTAACAGGAAGAAACCTCTGGCAGAACCAGGCTCAGGGAGGGGCGGGGCCATCTGCTGCAACCGGTTGGGGTGAGAGAAGGAAGACAGGATAAAAGACATGCTGTGGAATAGAGCAGGGCGATATGGCCAAAAATATTTATCACGATATATATTTGAAAATTTGCGATAACGATATAACTGACGATATAATTGATGCGAGACAAAATACAACTCCACAACATTACTAGCACAAAAAGACAACCTTCCATTTATTTTCACTTAAACAAGAAGCTGGTTTTTATGTACATTAAAGCTTTATAAAAATGTAAAAGTGCAAATGCAATTTCCTTGCTGAAAGTTTAACCAAAAGGCATTTCCAGTAGAAATGGGCTGACATATCCTGAGCATAACCATGTATAATATCCACTGAAGTTAAAAAGAGGTGATTTGCAACATTAAACTGCAGTGTGCAGTACGTATTTTTCGGACCATAAGGTGCACGGGATTATAAGGCACATTAAGCGAAACAAAGCAGTCAGATAAATCAAACTTTATTAAACTCATTCTTCTTGCTTCCTCCACTTCTGTACCATTGATTCATTAATGTTGAATTCTCTGGCAGCTGCTCTATTCCCATGTTGTTGCAGTATATTAATGACTAACCTCGTATTGTGGATGGATTATCTCAGTTGTTCTCCTGACTGAAGTTTGGTCCGTTTACAGCATCCTGCCATGCGATTGCATTTGTCTCTAACCATGAGGAACCTTTACGTTAACTTTTATAAGTGGAAAAGTGTTAGTGTTCGTCCTCCAGCTTCACTGTTTATGTTATGCTAACATAGCTGTGTCGCTAGCGATCACGTAGCACATCATTATATACCAACTAGCCCAACTTCAGTAACCCTACAAACGTCACTGCTGTTTAGTTTCCTGTCTTCATTTATGTTGGAAGTGATAGCAGAGCTGTACGTTTGATTTTTTTTCAGAAATCTCTCAGTCAGAACATGCTATATCATGCTTAGGTAACTAGCGAAACTAGCGAGCTAACTTCCGCTAGCTTCCTGCTAACTTCTAACTCCGTTAAATGTAATAAATTTTGTTTTCATAGATGCCTGGAAGTTAAACTTCATAGTTACACCTGGTAAAGCAGCAATGCTGATTGTTTTTATTAAAGATGAAAGAATTTAGACAGTTTTTAACTCGCAGTGATGCTGCAGTGTTGTTTGACATGAAAAAGACGGAGTTTAGGACCCAGATTACTCCCAGCTTTAAGAGCATCTTAGTCCGACAAATACGACAATAACGACGGCCGCTTGCACGTTCTGCAAAAAAATGTGCTTTGTCGTGTATCTGACGGACAAACACCAAACCAGTTCCACATCACTGAAGTTGCACCATTTTTACAAACCAATTCTGGTTCATCTGTTTCACTCAACAATCGGCCATGTGCGTATGAAAACAAAGGCACTGCGCATGCGCGTTTTACTCATATTCTATCGCGATATTTCATTTTCCTATCGTTGCCTAACATTATACCGGTATTACCGTGAATGGTATAATATGGCCCAGCCCTACTGTGGAAGAGAGACAGAGGTTAATAACAGATATGATTCAATGCAGAGAGGTCTATCAACACATAGTGCGTGATAAAGGTGACAAGAAAGGAAAAACTCCAATGCATCATGGGAATCCCCGGCAGCCTACGTCTATTGTAGCATAACTAAGGGAGGATTCAGGGTCACCTGATCCAGCCCTAACTATATGCTTTAGCAAAGGTTTTAAGCCTAATCTTAAAAGTGAGATAGAGTCTGTCTCCCCAATCCAAGCTGGTTCCACAGAAGAGGGGCCTGAAAACTGAAGGCTCTCCCTCCCATTCTACTTTTAAATACTCTAGGAACAACAAGTAGGCCTGCAGTGCGAGAGCGAAGTGCTCTAATAGGGTGATATGGTACTACAAGGTCATTAAGATAAGATGGGGCCTGATTATTTAAGACCTTGTATGTGAGGAGCAGGATTTTGAATTCAATTCTGGATTTAACAGGAAGCCAATGAAGGGAAGCCAAAACAAGAGAAATATGCTCTCTCTTTCTAGTCCCTGTCAGGACTCTTGCTGCAGCATTTTGGATTAGCTGAAGGCTTTCCAGCAAGTTTTTTGGACGTCCTGATAATAATGAATTGCAGTAGTCCAGCCTGGAAGTAATAAATGCATGAACTAGTTTTTCAGCGTCACTCTGAGACAGGATATTTCTAACTTTAGAGACACTGAATTACTATTTATAATTATTATTATTGACATCTACTGGGGATGGATCAGTTTACAAAATCTGTGGTTCTGTTCATAGCACAGTTTTGGGGTCACAGTTTTTGATTCAATTTGGTATATCTTGGCTCTTGTAAGTTAGTGCTCTAATACAGTGATACCATACTTTAAGATCATTAAGATACGCATCTGGTTATATACAATATTTTGGAGATATTTAAGGTCTTATGAGGAGGTGAACTATTTAAACATTTTAAAAGACCTGTTTTTTGTCTTTTGAATATTTATTACTGCTCATTAATAAGACAAAAGTATTTCTTATTCGATTTTTGATGCAATAATAGATACTCAATTACTAAAATGATCTAAGCCCCAGTACAGTCTCTACTTATCTGAAAAAAAGAAATGCTCTTATATAACTATCATTAGCTTACAGCTTTAAGTGTTTAAGGTATGTGCTAACTAAAAATAAAGACAAGATGATAGTTTATTAAATTTTAATGAAATTTGCAGATTGTTTCGGTGGAGTTTAATAAACTCCTTGCTATCTAAAATATAACAGGACACCGGAGTATATTCTTGAGCATCTCACACTTCTGATAATCAGTTGTCTGTTTGACGTTTACTCAGCTGTGTAAAAACTTTAACCTCAGCCAAACTGATTTACTCAGGAACAAATGAAATACTGAAAAAAGCCAAACAATAACATTTTTAAGTTATCTAAGTGACTTATATATCATGTTTAACCTGAGTAGCGAAAGACGGCGGTGGGTTTGAAAACGATTTGCCGTGAGTCCAGTGTTCTCACGGGCTCTAGTGAGCTATCGAGCTAGTGGGTAACAGACGTCTCCGAAAACGTCGGAGCGCTTTTGAAAATATGTGGTGTCTTGACAAACTGAGCAGATATTTGAGGTTTACACAGCTACATTCTTGCCTGAAAATATGTTAAACGTTTATTTTGTGACCCAGAAAGAATAATAAGAGTAATATTAAAACTAATTAGCTGCCGCCATTGTTGACAACTGAGCAGGGCTGCGCTATGAATTGTGGGACACAGCTTCTTCTTCTTCGGGGTTTAACGGCAGCTGGCATCCTTGTACATGCAGTGCTGCCATCTTCTGTTTCAGTCCGTTATTACACTCTTAAATCCTACTACTTATTCCTGCATCTTTCAGGATCTTACAAAGCTTCAAACGACGCGTCAACTATTAAATTAGTCGTCGATGATTTTGATAGTCGACGTAATCGTGACTAGTCGACTAATCGTGGCAGCCCTAATTAGGATGGATAAGAACAACTACATAGATGGACTTAGAAGCTGACACTGAACAGACAGCATACAATGATAACATGAAGCAGCTCTACGACACAAGCAAGAAATTGTGTGGGAAGCACAGCAAGCCAGAACAAGGACAAGGAGGGAAAGGCCATCACAGGACTAGTGCAGCAGATGAAAAGATGGTCTGAACACTTTGAGGATCTCCTGAAGAGACCTGCACCACCAAATCCACCAGACATCAATCCAGCCAACGAATATCTCCCCATTAACTGCAGCAGACCAACCAGAGAAGAGATCAGGAAGTCCATCACCCTAATGAAGAACAGGAAGGCTGCTGAACCTGGCGATATACCAAAGCAGATTTGGAAGCACCAGTGGAGTTGCTATATACACTCGTCTAGAAGCTCTGGGGGAAAAAGAGGAGTAACCACCCCAAGAAGGGTGACCTCATCGCACTCCTGTCAGTAACAGACAAGGTCTTCTTTTTTTTTCTTTCTTTTTTTTTGCCTGTCCCGTTTGGCTCTTTTGCCATCAGAATTGTTGTCTAAAGGCAAAGAAAGATGCCCAACGGGTTTACTTTACCAAATTGACCATCCCAGCCTTGCCGTAATGGTCCATTTGATTCACCTTTTATTGTTT